GGGTTTTTTCAAAAAATAAAAAAAGCCCCGGGGCCACACCCGGGGGGACAAAAAAAAAAAAAAAAAAGAAAACGGAATTTTAGCTGTGTTTAAATCTCTCTCCACATTCACACACCGTGTCAGCGGCCAACGCTGCCACTTCCTGTCAGCAGCTGCTCTTCCTCTTCTGCCCCCTGTCTTTCTTTCCTCCCCCCCCCATCGTACATCACACGAAGATGGACATCGGGGTCCTCTGTCCAAACAACACAAACAAGATATTTTGACCAAAGGAAAACGGAACGGAATTTCTGGTGATGCGGCAAAAAAAACCCCAAGATTTATGAACGTGCGTTCACGGAGAAACCGCTCATAGTTCAGAGGAAGTGTGTGGAACTATACGCAAGGAAACGCGAGGCGAACCCACTGACACTCTCACACCAAAGAATATTAGGATCAGTTTGACATCCCAGCACAGAGGTGGTGTTTTTTAATCCACTAAACATGAATGTTTTGTTTAGCAATTTCAGTCTTGGGGGAAAAAAAAATATTATAATAAGTTATAAGTAAACTATAAGTTATTTTTCAATATGGCAGTGCACATATACTTATACATATATTATGAACTATGTCTGAAGTTTCCTGCTTTCCCATTGCAACTGTTGCCTGCCATCTTGATGCGTCGCGCCGTCGGCCATGTTGTGTGGCAAAAGACGCGAATAGGTATGTCTTATGTGAATATCATTAGAATAACAGTTTACATGAAAAATCATGTTTTACCATTGATTAGATTATACTTTTTTCCAAAATCACAAAAAAATCTGAGTTGTCCGAACAGGACTTTATTCCATCAAAGTACATAAAAGTATAAAAATACTACACTTTTAACAAGGGCCCAAGTAGCTCAGTCGGTAGAGCATCAGACTTTTAATCTGAGGGTCCAGGGTTCAAGTCCCTGTTTGGGTGTAATTCTTTATTGTTCCATAGTGTAGCACTTATCACATCTGCCTTTACACGCGGAAGGTCGTGGGTTTGATCCCCAGAGGAATCACATACTTAATGGCGCCTAAACAAAAAAAAGGGGACTACTTGTCTAAATGAGTTGTTTTGTCACTTTGTATTTGACATTATTCATTATCAGATTTATTTCACTTACACAAACTGACCACAAGAGGCACTAGTGGACCAATCCAACCCCATCCGTAAGAAAAGACGGAGAACCGAGGAAGCAAAAAACGAAGGGGGAAAAACTGGCCTCCCGACTCCACTGCAGTCGGATTAAAGACGTCTGATGGTCTGACGGTTACATCATCCTCACCTCCATCATCGTCAACACTATGGTGACCGAGGGAGCAAACAGGAAAAACACCCGGTGATGATTCAGATGAACTATTCTTCTCAAGATTCTCTTCGTGTATCCAGGTCAGCTGAG